GTGGTGGCGGTGCTGGTGGTGCCCGTCTCGTGCGTCTCGCAGGGCGGGTTGGAGCACGCGTGCTGCCCAGCCATGTTGGCCGTGGCGGTGGTGGCCGTGTGCGTGGTGCCCGTCTCGTGGGTCTCGCAGGGCGGGTTGGAGCAGACGCGCACCACGCCGCCGTTCTGCTGCCCTACGGCTGGGGTCACGAGAGAAGCAGCGGCCTCCTGCTTGTCACAGACGAACTGCACTTGCGCGGGCTGGGGCTGCCCCCCGAGGTTAGCCACGACGGTGGTGGTGGCCGTGTTGGTGGTGCCCGTCTCGTGCGTCTCGCAGGGCGGGTTGGAGCAGACCAGCGTCACGGTGCCTGGCTGCACCTCCCCCTGGCCCGAGTCAGCAATGGTGACCGTGGCCGTGGGCTGCTCTGTAGTAGGCGAGGCCAGAATGGACACGGGGAGGTCATGCACAGGCTGGGCCTCGACGCCACTGGGTGCCGTGATGAGAGTCACCTGGGTAGGCTGGGAGACAGGCTAGGGGAGAGGACAGACGGGAAGGGTTACTTCTGTAACTTCCGGTCTGTCCCTCCGGCCATCCTACAGCGTTACCCGTGCTGGGGGGACCATCCCCTCAGTTCCTAAAGCGACAGCCCTGGTAAAGCCAGGACCTGCTCTCCCTCTGACCCCCAGACACTGACTTGCTCAGGGACCAGGGAAGAGGCACGGCCTCACCTCACAGGCCATGGGGACTGGGAAGGGGCTGTGGGGTCGGGTCCGAGGCTGGGGCCAGCCCTTGGTCAGGGACGGAGCCCCAGATGCTTTGCCTCTTCCACAAATTCAGCTTAAGATGCACGAAAAGAAAAAAACGCTACGTATGCAGGAAGAGAAATTGTCGCATCCTCTATGTTGTAAGAGAAAACGTCTGCCGGGTGTTCAAAAACTAGAACCGCCTAAGACCTAACGTCCTGACACGACGGTCAGACGGTGACTAAGAATCCCAGTGGTGCAACAGGGAAGCGCCCTCCCCCACCCCCGCCCCCCGGGGTCCACGCGGGTGAGGAAAAGAGGGCCTGGCGTGGGGCCCCAAGACGGAGAGCAGGAGCCTCGGGCTGTGGCTCATCCGTGCGCACACAGAGTCCGGGACGCGCACCCGCCCACCCCCGCGCTCTCCCAGCTGTCCTACCTGCATGGTGATGGTGGGGGTGGTGAGCCCGCCGGCCGCCGTCAGCGTGGTCTGTGCAGCTGACACGGTGATGGCAGTGGGGTTGATCACCTGGCTAGAGAGGGTGGCGATGGTGCCCAAGGTGGTGATGGGTGTGGCCAGGGAGGCGCTGGTACTGTGGCCCCCAGCTCCGGCAAGGCTGGTGGAAACGGTGCCTGTCACTGTGCCGAGGGTTGTGACGCCTGGAGGGGAAGGGGGCAGGGGTGGGGTAAGGCCCGTGGCTGGGGCCTTTCCCCTGCCAGCAGCTTTTCCCCTGGTGGGGCCAGGACACGGGCAGATGTGGAGCACACCCCAGGGGAACAGAAGGCTGGGAGTGGGCACCTCTCCCATGGAAAGGCGGGCCCAGCATCTAAGCTACACACCTGTGGTGCCCTTCACAACCAACGTGGTGACAGCTGGCTTGACGGCAGAGACAGTGACAGGAGTGACCAGGCGGACACCCCCCATGGGCACGGTACGGAGGATGGTGCCCGGCTGTCCAGGGGCCCCCTTTAGCACCACCTGGAATGCCAGAGGAAAGCGCCCCCATGTCACTCCAAGGTTGCCCAGACCCTGTGCCGCCCCCTCCCGGGCCCCTCAGGAGGACACGTGTGGCCTGCTGGGGTCCTGGGCTGGACACTGGGGGGAGGGGAGGGCCAGGCATGCCTCACCTGAGTCACTCCTTGCTGCCCGTGGCCAGTGGCGATTTTAGGGACAGCTGTGATGATTTTGGCAGGTGCTCCTGTTCCCGAAGTCATCACTTTGGTGGTGATGATGGTGATGGGGGACTTGATGCCAGGACTGCTGGTCACGCCTGGACAGGAGAGGGGCGGCTTGGCCTCAGGGGCTCCTCTATGTCAGTACCCTTTGCCCATCTCCCTCACGCCCTCCCACCCACCACCCCTTGATTCAAAGGCGAGAGAAAAAGAGAGGAAAAGCAGAACAAAAGCAAGAGCACGCCACAGCCCAGCCTCCGCCTGCCCCTGTGGCCTCAGCCTGCGCCCGCCCCTGTGGCCTCAGCCTCCCTCCTCGCCCGTGCCCTGGGGGCGGCCCCTACCTGTGGCACCAGCCTGCGTGATGATGGCCGACATGGGGATGGTCTTGATGATGGTGGTCGTGCCAGGCTTGGTGGTGCTCGGGGACACGCTGCTGATGCCCAGGATGGTGGGCTTAGTCCCAGCCCCGCTGGCCTGCGTGGTAGTGATGATGGTGGTGGGCTTGCCATCTGCGGAGGTCACTAGCTTCAGGATGGTCCCGGCCGGCAGGGGCCCTTTGGTCTGCAAGAGCAAAACAGGTAGAGGACAAGGTGAACTGGCATCATCGCCAGGATCGAAAGTCTGACACAAAGTCTGCCCTGGCCACTCTCTACTGGTGGCCCGAGCAGCTCATGGAATGTTCTGAAGACTGGGAGAGACGGGACCAAGCCACAGGACTCTCTGTGCCACACGTGCTTGAGATCTTCTCTACGCAGGGAGGCGAGTTCTTCCTGCGGCCCAGTGCCCCCCACTTGTGTCAGAGTCTGGGGCCCACAAGCTCACCTGGATGATCTGAGTCACTGGGCCCGTAGATGCCTGGCCCGTGACTGCCGAAGTCTGAACCGGTTTGGTCTGAACCACTGACATCACTTTGCCCAGGTTGGAAATCTAAAAAGGAAAGGATGGAGCAAGGAGTGACATGGCAACCAATCAAGAGTGTGGCAGCGCCACAACCTGGTAGCTGTCACGTGTAGCAGGGTGGCGCCTGTCACTCACCAGAGCACTGCCTCCTGGGACAGAGATGGGGCTCTTCACCAGGGTGATGGTCTTGGTGACTCCACCCACCACTGTGGTCACCACCTGGGCTTGCTGGGCCACTGTCACAGTCCCTGACTTGTGCACTGTGATGATGGGGCGGGTGGATGTGTTGGCAGCAGAGGAGACTGACGTCCCCACCTGGGCAGCTGCAGTCTTCAGCATTCGAGTGGCTGGGTTGCTCACCTTGAAGGGGCAGAGACGGCCGATGAGCAGGACAGAGAGTCCGAGCCCCCGCCCAGAATGTCCTGGCAGGCCCACGGCCCCCTCCCCCCCGCTGCGTGCTGTCCTACCTCCCCCACCAACCCACCTGCAGAACGGCTCGGCTTGGTTTACCTTTCCTTTAGTAAAGCAAGGGAGGACACTGGCAGACGGCACACCTAGCCTAAGGCTGTCCCAGCCCCCAAAGTAACCTCTTGTTCCACAGCCCACGGCGAGCAGCAGTTATGGGCCAACAGCCCCAAGGCTGCTGGCTCCGATTCAGGCCTGAGGAGTGCTCACCATGACTGGCGAGGAGGCCACCTTTACGGTAGCCGGGAGGGTGGTGGTGCCAGGCGTCACAGCCACGGTTTTGACGATGGTGGTGCCCGCCGGGACACTCAGCACCGTGGGCGCCGAGGAAGGAGGGATCTTCTGTGTGGCAGCGGCCGCGGCCGCCAGCGCAGCCATACCGCTCATCTGTGGGCTGCTGCCGATCACCTGCGGTGGGCACAGCATGCATGAGCCCACAGAAGGGCACTGAGGCCACCGAGCTCCCTGCTCCGGACGCTTCGGCAGAGCCCAGCGAGACGCTCAGCCCTGCCCAGGGAGCCTCCCTCCTGGCCCAGCATTCCTCTCGGCCCCAGCCCGGCCTCCTGCCACTGGCCAGCGTCTGCCAGAAGCTCTAGGTCTTTTTTTTTTTTTTTTTTTTTTAAAGATTTTATTTATTTATTTGAGAGAGAGAGAGAATGAGAAACAGAGAGCATGAGAGGGAGGAGGGTCAAAGGGAGAAGCAGACTCCCCGCCAAACAGGGAGCCCGATGCGGGACTCGATCCCGGGACTCCAGGATCACGACCTGAGCCGAAGGCAGTCGCTTAACCAACTGAGCCACCCAGGCGCCCTCTAGGTCTTTTCTAAAGACCACGGAGTCAGGTAGAGCTCTCCCCTCCTGGCGCCGGGTCAAACCCCAGCTGGCTAGATTCTCCCCTCAGGCTTCCAAACAACAAAGTTCATGCTTAGGATGCCCTTGTGTGAGTCAGATTCAGACAGCAGGGAGGTCCTCCTGAAGCATTAGCTTATTAATTTATTATTAACTCAGTAATGACAGGTTGCCTCCCCTGCGCTCCGCAACCGAGAAAAGCCCAGGCTGGGCGCCATCGATCACTAGGAAGTCCCACCCTACCCGATGGCTCCTCACCGTCCCCTGGGCACTCTGCGTTGGCACAACCATTCGCACGCCTGCAGGAAGGGAGGTCACGGTGACGGGGGCTTTCCCAGCCTGGCTGGCAGGTCGCATGGTGACCAATGGGGTTCCTGTTGTTGCCTGAGGACCGGTGACTTTCAGAACAGCGGGAACACCTGGCGAGGGAAGCAGGCGGCCATCAGCGGAGCCCCAGACCTCTGCTGCGTTCAGTGTGTAAACGTGAAGCGCTTCCGTGACCCGCTTGTGCGTCCCGTACGGTCCTTCCAGACAACCTCGGGGACTGGCTCCGCCCCAGCGCTCCACGGCCCGAGCCGGTGCCGATGACCATCAGGCGTGCTGTCTTCAGCAGCCCTCGCTCAGGCACACCATCTCCTGCTGGGCTAGCCCCTACCCTCAGGCAAAGTGCCAGGCCCCCCGCTCACCTTGAGTCCTGGCTGCAGTGGGCACGGAAATCGAGCTGCCAGGCACTGTCGGCAAGACCTGGATGGTGGTGGTGGTCGGGGGCGCGGCGGCAGCCTGGGGCAGGAGCGTGATGCCTACTTGGGTCAGCGGCTGCACGGCAGGTGCGGCTGCTGCTGGGGCAGGGCTCTTGGGAGGGTTGGCAGGCACAGACGGGACTGGATTGGGTGTGGGGGAGGTGGCAGTAGCAGCCGTGGCAGGAATGTCATATTTCTGGAGCTGCAGAAGGTAACTGTCGGCTGTCGCCACTGCCCCCCAGCTCACCTCCAGGGAGTTGGTGTTGGCTCGTACCAGCTGTACCCGGGCCGGGGGCGGTGGCTTTTCTGTGAGAGAGCGCAGCTGGTGAGAAGGGGGACCGGCATGAGGCCCCACCCCGGGCCTCAGCTGGGCTGTGGCGGCCTCTGGCTCCTATCCAGCTGCCTTACCTGTCTCCAGGTACCAGAGGTCCTTGCAGCAGACCTGGTTGTTCCAGGCCTTTCGGTAGCCGTCGCGCCCACTCCATATGTACAGGCGGGTATTGATGGCTACAGCACAGTGGCCAGCTCGGGCCCGAGGAATATTGTCCTCCAGCGTGTCCATCAGGATGGTCTCCCAGGCCATGGTATCTGGGGAGGGTGGCAGGGGGAGGTCAGCAAGGGGGTAGAGGAACCCACAACCCCCAGTGGCCCTTTGGCCTTTGGCTGTCAGGGATAGGGAATTAGAAAACAGGAAGTCATCAAAGATTACTAAACTAAAAACAAACAAACGAAAAATAACTCAGTGTGGCAAAAAGACCGTGAAAGATAAAATTATAAACCACAAACTACAAACTGGGAAAGCTATTTGAAACGAACAGCCAAAGGTTTCACTTCTCGCACATCAAACAACACAAGAGCCTATAGAAAGAGACGGGCACAGAGGAACGCGAGTTATGGAAAAGGCGACAGAAGGCTCTAAGGAGAAATACATACCCTCACTCAAAGTGAGAAAAATGCAAACTGAAACCGTAAGGCGCCTGGCAGTTTGATTCTCCTGCCTGTTGCAGCCGGGGCTCCAGGTGAGCCGGGGTGGGGGTCGGGGGGCTGGGGGCGGGCCCGGGGGGAGAGAGTCAGTCACCTATCAGACCTGGTGAAGAGCACTCTACCGGCGCTGCCAGGTGCCAGGGGCACCTACGTGGGTACAGCCTCTGTGCAGGACGGCTTGGCAACGGCCTTCAACAGCGAGTCTACCTTTAGGTCTTTACCCTTCAAATGCACTTGCACGTAGGCGAGAACAGTGCAAGGATACTCACGGAGCAGCGTCTGTGCAAGTTTCAACACCTTGATAGCAATTCAAAAGAATGAGGCCGCTCGCCGTGCGGGGCTGGGATGGTCTCCAAGACAGAATAAACCGAAAAGGCCAGGCGCGGCGCTGCGGAGAGCAGGCTGCCGTTGTGTTTGTTTGTTTATAAAGGAACCTACAAACGATGCTGGTATATGTAGAAGAGTCCCTGTGGGGTGGATGACAAGCCCCCAACACGGCTGCCTCTGCAGAATGGGGGGGCGGGAGGGAGGCTCTGCACGGTTAAGCTTTTGTACTTTCAGATGTCGGACCACATGTAGGAAAAGAGCCTATTCAAAACATGAAAGCGAGCATCCCTCAGAGTGCTCTGACCAGTGGCTACTTCTCGTGGATTCTAGAGGCACGGGCCTTAGAAGCAGCTTCACTCCCTGCACACCCCACACAGCTCTCGGGACTGAGGAGGGCCAGCCTCCCGCAGCCCTCCGCAGGCCACTCCGAGCCCGAGGAGGCCATACCCAGGTTGAGACAAGCCAGTGTGTTGGTACACTTCCACTCCTTCTCGTGTGTGGCCACTTTGACGTCATCCATGACGAGAGGCACCCAGCCACCAAACACGTACATTCTGGGACGAGGGAGGGAAGAGTAGGAGAGGGTTGTAGAGGAGGTGCCAAGCTAGAGGCCACCTCTTCCATCCAGAAAGTTCTAAACACGCCTGGTCCTCCAGCTCTCCCCAGGAGAGTCCCCCGGGATGCATGAAAGCTCTTGATGCAGCCCTCTCCGTGGTGGCTCAGCTCTCACAAGAACTGTGTCACCTCCACCACGTGGCATCGTTACTTAGCTCATCTAAAGCTCACCTCAGTCCCCATCGCTCTCATATGCGCTTTGGGACCTTGGTGTTGACAAAGACACCCAGCTGCTTGTGGAGAATATCTAGAACAGTCTGCGCCCCTCTACCCCGAGTCTTTCTTGGTCTCCCGGGGTCGTAATGTAAAGACGGGGCTGCGGAAGGCCAGCCCAACCAGAAAGAGGCCTCCTCAGGCCTTAGGAATTGCAGGAACAAAACTGAGAGCCCTTTGGGGGCGGGGGTGGGCTAGGAAGAGAAAAGCCATGGCCAGCTACTCACTTGTTTCCTATGGTTGTGGCTGAGTGAAGGCTTCGAGGAAGAGGTGCCACCCCGCTGAGACTGGGCTTATTCCACGTCAGAGTCTCTGTGCAGAGCAACGGAGAAGGGAGGGTTACCTACACTAGGTCAGACTCGGGCCCTCCGCCCCAGAGGCTGTTCCCCAGGTTCAGGGAAGGCTCTAGAAGGTGGGTGCCCACCAAGTGCAAGAATTCCATGCCTGGCCTCCCTACAGCCCAAAGAGGCCCTCTGGTCACCAGGTTCCAGCATTTCCCAAGCTCGGTTCGCAATCCTGGCAAGCGCATCTCGTCTGACACTTACTGAGCACCTGCTATGAGCCAGCACTGCTCTCGGGGGTTCGGGCTGGAGTGAAAAGCGCATCCTCAAAAGGCACCGCACTCCACACCCTGCTCTCCACGAAATGCGTCCACCCCCACGCTGCCTCCACTGTCTATGGACCGAGCGTTGGCAAGCGCTGTGCTGCTAGGAATTTCGCTCACAGTAAACGGTTTCCTTTGAGTGCCAACGCTGATCTACAGTTCAACGTAACCCTGCAGACACAGCTTCTCCCCTCAGCCTTCCTTCAGGCCAAAAACTTGACCTTTTTTCAACCACTCCTGATATCCACCCTGGTTACGAGCCCAAGTTGTCCCCGGAGGTCTCATGGGTCTCTCAATATCCCATTTGACTGTGAGAGACCAAGGTGCGTCACTCCTGTTACAGTCTCATCACTGACAAGTTGACAGGGACAAATGCTACCTCATCTAGTCAATTCCATCTTAGAAAGGCCTTTACCCCCTTCCCCTTATCCTCCTCTGAGAAAGCAGACCAACTGAGCCAGCTGAGCCTTGCTCTTTCTTTTCTTTTTTTTTTAAAGATTTATTTATTTATTTATTTATTTGAGAGAGCGAGAATGAGAGAGAGAGAGAGTACATGAGAGGGGGGAGGGTCAGAGGGAGAAGCAGGCTCCCTGCCGAGCAGGGAGCCCGATGCGGGACTCGATCCAGGGACTCCAGGATCATGACCTGAGCCGAAGGCAGTCGCTCAACCAACTGAGCCACCCAGGCGCCCAAGCCTTGCTCTTTCTTAAAAGCAATGCCACAAGCTCAGGGCAAAGAGCACAGCCACCAACAGGGTCCTGCTCCCACCCTGCCACGACAAGGAGAAGGAGCTAAGCGGCACGCTAACTCCGTCTCCCCACCCCACGCCGGCAGCACCCACGTCTTACCAATGTCCAGGGTCCAGAGGTCCCCCAGTCTGCAGCCACTCATCCCTCCATAGATCACCAGCTTGGACTTCTTATTGTCTTTCTCAGTGTAGACCACAGCAGTATGTGACTCCCGGGGTGGAGGCAGGACGCCGTAAGTGATGGGGATGTCCCAGGCTACCACTCCGGAGCCTGGCCGCAATTCCAGGATGTATAAGTCATTCAGGTACCTAGGGGAGAAAGGCCAGTTACGGCAAGCCCTGACTCCACGCACCAGAGGCCTCACCAGCTCCTAGGGGTGAACAGCAGACTCCTTCGGAGACAAAGGGTGCTAAGTTACACGAACTCTAAGTTCTTCTACCCCTGGCCCTGAGAAGGGGCTGCCAGAAGCTCCCAAGGATGAGTGTGAGTCCAAGAGGAGCAGTGAGATGGGGTGTGCTGAGCCGCCTCGCACACAAAACTGGGGACCATACTAGGGCCTCCTGGGGTAAAAGGGGGTGCCAGTTTGGGACCACCTTCAGACTTCAGAAAGGTACTCGGCCCCTGGCCTTGGAAAATACCATCACTAAGACTGCAGGCAGCAAAGGCTAGGAAGGAAAGCGCCAGCTCTAACTTGGTCTGAGGAGCAGGGACCAGCTGAAGGCAAGGTGGGTTTTGACCTCCTGGCCCAGCCCTCCTGCCATGCCACCTCCTCTGGGTTAGAGACCTCAGAGCCAGAAAGCTCCCTACAGGGTCTCTAGCGTCACCCTCTCATTTCACAGAAGAAAGGGACTCGGCACGGTGGGGTTGGCTGGTATGTGGTGAAGCACACCCACCCTCACGATTCCACATGAAGAGGACAAAGCCTCACCTCGGAATGTTGTTCTTGGGGTCCTCACTATCGTTGGCCAGACCCCCAAACAGGTAGCACTTGTTGCCCACAAGGGAGAAGCTGTGCCCAAGCCGAGGACACGGAGGGGGTCCGTTTTTGGGCGTCTTTGCTTTGAGTCTCTTCCATTCCCACCGGCTTGCCTGCAAAATCAAGACTCAGGGATTGAATCAGGGATGAGCTGGTCACCATCAGGGCCTGGGCCATTTGTTGTGGAGGGAGGAGTCGGGGGGGGGTGGGTAGGCACCTGAATGGAGTAGGAAGGTCCTGCAGCCTCCCCTCCCACCCAAACATTGGGAGCACACTGTGGGCCATTACCTGAAGCTCATAGAGGTCATTGCTATATTTCCCATACTCCACCATCCCACCAAACACCAGCAGGCGAGTCCCATCACACACGAAGCCATAGGCTGCACACCCGGGGGGAATGTCCCCTCTCACGGCTGGGATGAACCACTGGTTAGTCGCTGGGGAACGAAAGGAAGCAGAAGTCAGAACACCTCAGGAAGTCTTAAGAACCAGAGGCCCCACTCCTCTTACTCCCCAAATCCAGCAGCCTGCAAAACGTGGTCTGAGAAAGGAGGGGCCAGCCCTCCATCCAAGCCATTTTCTAAGCCCCATGACCTCAGAGACCACCTCAAAACAGCCTGCAGTCACCCAGCTTCTCATCAAGGTTGTCTTAATAAGCAGGAAGTCACTAACCAGGATAATTCACTAGCTTCTGGGAATGTGGCCACTGACTTCCTTCCCTTACCGCTCAGTGGGTCCAATATTGGAAAGAAATGTCTAACACCCGAAATACCCTCTCAGTGGCCCTGTGCACCTCTTCCTGGGGGCGCAGGGCTACACCTCTAAGTGGCTCAAAGAGTGACTGTGGCCAGCTGAGGGAGGCCAATCAAGGCAGCCCAGCCTGCTGGCTGAGGAAAGCCGGGGGGGGG